AAATTTTTTTTTAAAAAACAATTTTGCTTTCTCTGCTCAGCACATTTTAGGAAAATAACTGCCATTTTTCCTGGGTGCAGACGTGCGAGGAGAAAAACCACAACAATACACATTTCAAAAACTAATTATTTTTATATTGCGAGATTCCATTTACATGAAATAATCTCTAGAAAAGGCAAATCTATAGAGACAGAAAGATCTGTGGTTGCCTGGGGCTGTGGTAATGGTTGCACAACTATAAATTTATTACAAATCATTGAATTATACACTTTAATCAGATGAATTTTATGAAATGAAATTATATCTCAATAAAGTTGTTAAAAACAAAACTATTTAGACAGGTTCTTAGAGCTGTATTGAGAATTAAGTTATCTGGTGCATACTCACAATTATCTTAAAAAACCCACTACAGCGATCATCACTTCCTAATCTGATCATCACATCATAAAAGAACCAGGACATTATTATATTACAGTGGCAGTGTTATTTTTCTACCCCAAGGAAGAAAAAAACTAAGATAAGCAAGTTAATGAAATAGAAAACATGAGTGATTATAACACTGCATCTAAACTCTCACATATCCTAACAACAGAAGTACGTGATAGTTCAGTTTATGACAAAGTATCTTAATTTATATATCTCTTCTTTAGATGTAGATAGTACTTACATTCATCATAAAATCCGTAAATTCTATTGATGCTGGCACATTCATGGTTCCCTCTGAGAAGAAAAAAATTCTCAGGATATTTGATTTTGTAGGCCAGTAAGAGGCAGATAGTCTCTAATGACTGCTTCCCCCTGTCCACGTAGTCCCCAAGAAACAGGTAGTTGCTTTCTGGCGGGAAACCACCGTACTCAAAAAGTCGAAGCAAATCATAGTATTGCCCATGGATATCACCTAGAAGCAAGAATTTTGTTACACAATGTTTCCAGAGTTACAACTCAATACACTAACAAAGCTTTGGAAAGACATTCTTTAAATACTCACTGAGCAATGACACTGACCTCTAATAATGAAGAGTTTAATTTGACAGCTAA